GCTGATTAGCTGGGGCTGAAAAATAAGCTGTGATTAAGAAGAGACCAGCATCACTGATGTGAAATCTGGAAGGTATTTCCTCAATGTCAGCACACAGAAGCTGTGATCCAGAGGAGGCCAAAGCTGCATCTCAAGCTGAAAGAAGAACTTGGCAATATGTAAAAATCTCCCACATCATATTGGTTTTGGTAGAATGAAAACTGAAGTAGGGATCTTGAAGAGAATCTGAGGCTGGGCACCATGTGAGGCCATTGATGAAGGTTCAGCCTCAGTTGCAATGGAGACCCCAACGTATTGGAGATGCCAGAACCATGGGCCAACCGCCAACCACCAAGCATGGCAAGTGTGGTGCAGAGCCTAACAAACTGTGGGTGCTGTGGATGACAGAGCCAGAGAAGTGGACTCTGCCCTAGCTCTTTGGAATCCAGAAAATCTTGCATGAATCCCAGATATCAGACAATAAACTTCACTGCTGGACTTTGGTTTTGCTTATGTGTGTCTTGGTTCTTCCTTCTTGAAATAAGACAGCATGTAACTTGTTTGGGGTTTTACAGAAACTCCCAATTGAGACTTTTTAAAGAGATTGAACCTTTAAAGTATTTGAATTTTTTAAATAAATTTAAAATTTTTTAATATTTTATTTATTTTTATTTTATGTGTATGAGAGCATTGCCTGCATATAGGTAAGTGCACCCATGTCGTGCAAGGCCCATGGCAGACAGAAGACGCTGTCAGATCCCCTGGAACTGGAGTTATGAACAGTTTTTAGCTGCCATGTGGTTGCGGGGATTTGACCCCAGGTCTCTTCCAAGACCAACCAGTGTTCTTAACCCCTGAGCCATCTCTCCAGCCCCTAAAGTGTTTGAATGTTTTTAAAACTGTGGAACTTTAAAAGTCGTACTATATTTTATATTGTGATATTAATATCAAAATGAGAACTTGGGGATAAGAAATGGAAAAGTTGAGCTAGAGAGATGGCTCAGCACTTAAGAACACTGGCTGCTCTTGCAAAGGACCCAGGTTCGATTTCAGCACCCATATGGTGGGTGCATCTGCAACTCCAGTTCCGGGGGGATCTGACATGGGGGACTTTTAAAGTTGCACTGTTTTATGTAATAAATAAATAAAAAAAATTTTAAAAAAAGAAATGGAAAGGTTGTGGTTTAATAGTTATGTGTCTGTGTGTCAAGTTGACAAAGGGTCAATTGTGCTGGGCAGCTTCAGTTGTCAACTTGACACACCTGGGAAGAGGGAGCCTCAGCTGAGGCATTCCCTTCATCAGATTGGCCTGTGGCCATTTCTGTGGGGCATTTTCTTAATTGCTGGTTGATGTGGGAGAGTCCAACCCAACGTGGGTGATACCACCCTTGGGCAGGTGGTCCTAAGTTGTGCAAGAAAGTAGGCTGAACACAGGCCAGGGGAGCAAGTATGTAAGTAGCGCTCTTATGTGGTCTGTACTTCATTTCTTGCCTCCAGGGTCCTGCCTTAAGCTCCTGCCTGGGCTTGCCACCACGATGTAAGCTGTAAGGTGAACTAAACCCTTTCCTCCTCCAAGTTGCTTTTGCTCAGAGTTTTATCACAGTAATAGGAAGTAACTAGGACAAGTGTGTCCTACTCTTAGGAAATTATATTGCTATGAATAACTGACAAGGCCTGAAGTGGTAACTCAGAGGGTAAAAGCCCTCTTGCCACAAAGTCCAAGGACCCAAGTTTGATCCTTGAAACACGTGGTAGAAGAAGAGAACCAACTTCCACAAGTTGTCCTCTGAATTCCACACGTGTCATGACACACATAAACACATCCATACTCACCACACCCCCACACAAATAGAAAAATGTAATTACATAAAGAATAATTACCTTCAATCCATAAAGACATTGGAAGGACATGAAGCCTGTTTACAATACAGCAGGATTCTGAAGCACATAGGGGCTCCAGCCCAGGTAGCATTTTGCCAAGTAATCAGAGAAAAATTATTACACATATTTCCAATGATAAATTCCTTCTACAGATGCTGAGTAAGCACATGAGGCAGGAAGAAGTACATTATCAGAACCTTGTTTACCAGACATTTCTGTGGAGATTTTTTTTTTTCAAGACCAGGTCTCACTTTGTAGCCCAAGCTGGCCTCCAACTCACAGAATGTCCTCTTGCCCCTGCTTCCCAAGCAATGGGATTAAAGGCATAAGCCACCACACTCAGCTCTGTGGAGGCTTTATAAGTATTTGTTTCTGGGTTCCTAGCCTTTAATGCTCTTTCTGAACAGATATTGAGATGTCCCCCAAATGGAAATACCTATATTTAAATTCAGTCTAAGAGTCAGGATCTATTTCTTAACAGTGAAAAGGGAGGAAAAATCACCCAAAACTTCCCTGTCACTACCCAAGCCAATGTGTTATCTATCATAAGAAGCCTAGGTCCTGAGTAACAGATTATGCACATCAATAAAATACTGTAACCACAGTTTGAGACAAATGCCTTGTTACATAGGAGGTCAGAGGTCGACCAGGATGGCAGGGAATCCTGCACATATTTATCACTGGCCAAGCTTCAAACTGAGTTTTAAATTTTGTCAGACATGAAAAACTGCTGCCAGATGGTGTCAAGATAATTCATCTCTGTGTTAAAAACACACTTAGATATAGTTGATAGTCAAAACCAAGTAATTAGTACGAACACCATACATACCTGGCAGCATTCCTACTGTTTGGGGTACACTGTTAGGGTTTCTGTATCTCTCCAGTTAATACATAGGTAATGTTAGGGTTTCTCTATCTCTCCACTAATACACAGCCCATGAGCTAACACAGCCGAGAAGGGTTTTCTAGAGCTGTGGATCACACCAAGACAATAGAAAGAGACAGCATGATATTCCAAATAGCAAGCAAGGGCCTATTAAAATTGTTCACTCCTGGGGCTGGAGAGGTGGCTCAGTGGTTGAAAGTACATACTGTTCTTGCAGAGGACTCCAGTTCAGTTCCCAGCATCCACATCAGGTGGCTCACAACTGTAATCCCAGCTCCAAGGTATCCAACTCCCTCTTCTGGCCTCCATAAGCACTCTCACACATGTAGCATATACACAGACATATATACACACGCACATAAATAAAAATTTTTTAGTTAAAATATAAAATTTAGGGCTACTCTCTGTTCTCCCCACCTCTACTCTGTCCCCTCTTTAGCTACTTAGGTCGTCAGGTTTGGTGACAATTGCCTTTACCCACTGAGTCGTACTGCTTGCCCAGGATCCCCTAAAGTTTAAGTCATCAGATTCTGTGGATACAGTGCATTCTTCAATTAACTAGAAATATAGTACAAACATTTGGAAATCCTTCAGATGTAAGAAACCATGTGCTAGTGGTTCACAAAATTTGAGAAAAAAAAAGTTGAAATAGACTGAGAAGAAAATTAAAATGTGCCCCCAACAAAAAAGAGAAAAATGTTAGAAAGCACAAAGATAAGTTATTGTGAATTAATTTGTAATATGTTTGGTTTTTAAATTATTTTAAAACATGAATTATTACATTTAGTGGTATAAGTATTGGTTTAGACCTGGTCTATTGTGGCATTTCTCTGGGTGGGACATAGAATCACAATTCTTCCAGCTATTAAAATGAAAATCATGTTGTATTTAAAACGCAGACCTGAAGGGAAGGTTAGCATCGGTCATTTATGGATATGGACTACCACATAATGCTGGGGGGACATTCTACTGTTAGAACCAGGCTGGGTACCTAGAATCCTTACCAGGAATAATGGGGGCTCCGATTCTTCCCACAGGTCCTGCCTACTATACCACCATTATATCATTTAAATCTCTGCCTTATGCATAGTTTTCTTATTATTAGTGAGTAGCCAAATCGTGAGATTTTTGGGTTCATTTCCTAGAAAACCATCACTGTGGATAGGGCTGTATCTCACTCACACCTCAGTGAAGCACAATAAAGATTTTATTTTATGCTCCAATAATCATTGGCAAGGCCTGATGCCTCCTTCTGTCATCTCACAGGGAGCAGCACACGAAGAAGATCCCAGGAATCAGGAAGATGGGGGTAAAGTGAGGTCACCACTGGCAACCAGAAAACCATCCAGGCTTTGAACACAAAACCCGTAAATGTCTACTGTTTTGTAAACTTATTCTTTTTGGCAGGGTTGCATATGTTTTCTGCACTCATTCCACAAATCGGGCTGATTATTATTCCAATCACCAGAGGAAGAGAGAGTCACATTAATTTGTAGTAATTAATAGCACTGATGCATTTGACAGCGCATGTTAACAAGCCTCTTTGATTGTTTGGATCTCTAACTGCGGCCCTTCTTGTTTGCATCACCTCCAAGGAATTCATAATATCAAAGCTTAACGGTATCTGATACTTGTCAAAATGCAATTTATAAAAGTTTAATTCTTTTATTGATTTAGTTTGGTTTTGATGCCTGCAGAGTCAGCTCCCTTGACAGAACTTAGCGGATTCAAATGCTTGTCACCAGCTCGGCCTCCTTTTTGCAGGGAACAATTGCCATAGGCCAAGCCAACAGGCATGGTTTAATTGCCATTAATTAAAAGCATAAATCTCTTTTTTCTTCAGTTGCTCTGCTCTTAAAGGGAGCTGCACATATCTCTCTTTCCGCATGTTTGGCAGAACACCTTCTGGCAAGCAAAGTTAACCCATTCCATCTTTCTAAGCACTTTCTGAGATAATCTTTTGAAGCAAGGCTCTTGTGATCTGCCGGGAAATGCATGTGGTTCGGTGATATTTAACAAACTGGATTCCTTCTTTATTGCAGTATAATGAGGTCAAATGAATCCCTCCATGGGTTGTATACATGCTTAAATGGTTTTTTGCATCAAATTCCTTTTGACAGCAAATAAAACAGGAGCCAAACAAAACATCAGCTACTTAAAATTAGAAAGGAGGGGAGGAGATTGGAGGAGAATGAGCTTTTAAAACAAAAACACATTTGTGGTTTTTTTTTAACATTAGGTGCAAGGAACCTTCCAGCAAAATAAGTCTGCCTGGTCATTTTCAGATTGGAAGCAATTAGTGAGATTCTTGGGATGAGGGGAAGTGCTGGGCTTAACAGAGCCCAAATGATTATACAGTAAATATTATTCCAGCTCCGTTTACCTTCTTGTATTATCATTAAATCTATTTCATTTAGAGAAGACCCAGAGATGTTGTGAGCAAGGTAAAAATAATGAGGATTCATCGCTCACTTTGATGGGGGAAGGTAAAGAGGGTGGGGAAAGTGGGTAGGTTCTTGTTATTTTTTTTACTTGCCCACAATTATCCTATGAAATGATTATCCACCAGGCTTTGCTATTCAATGGCGGTGTCAAAACAATTCGGTTTCCCCTGCCTGCCAAGCGCCTTCTCTTTCCTCCTCAGCCCTGCCTCGTCCAGTGGAAGTGTCGCGGTAAGCAGATTATTGCATTTACACATATTAGTTTTGCTGCATCTGCCAGCTTTATAGCAGGATTGTAGAGCTACGGAAGTCTCTTCGCTTTATTTAAAAAGGAAGGGGGGAAAAAAAAGTTAGCTGCGCGTTGGGCTGCTCGGCGTGCTCAGCGCATGAATATGTTATGCATCTGTTTTCACCGGGTCAGGCTAGGGAGAGTGATTGATTTTTGGCCCCAGTGCACTTTTTGGGGAAAAAAAAAAAAATCTTTTAGCGAATGTGGTGGTGTTTAATTGGGAGCGTTCGAGCTAGATGTGCGGCTGCTGGTGCTGGAATCTGGACCATCCAGGCTGCGGATTGCTCGGCCGCGGTGGCCGCTGCAGCGGGGAGTCCCCAACCCCCGGGGTGACCTACATACCCACGGTTACCCCGGTCTCGTGCGTGCGTGTGCGCGCGCGCGCCTGGGTGTGGGGGCGTGTTTTCTTTTCTTTTCTTTTTTTTTTCTTTTTCTTTTTCCACTTTCCCCTAAGCCTAGCGTTGGAAGGGAGGAGGTTCCAATTAAAACCAAAATAAGCTGCTTTAATGGTCTTTTAAATTGACAAGTGAACAATGATTTTAGTATTGGTATCTGTCAAAGGTCCTAGGAAATCCTCAGCTGATAAGGCCCAATGCTTCCAATTAGGAACCGTACAGATCTGCAGCCAATAATGATTTCTGGGTCCCTGCAGAAATGCTGCAGACACTTATTGCAAATTACTGACAAAAAGCTCTCCTGTATTGATGAGAGGAAGTACAGGCGGCTTTCGGTGTCCCCGTCAGGTATACCTCATAATGAGAGAGCTTGAAGTTTTGACTTAGCCTTTTTCCTTCCCTCCACCCTTAAAGCAGCATTTCATTGATGAGTAAAAATCTCGCCTCCCACCAGCTTTAAGCATGTTAGACATTTCTTCCCAGATTTTTTACACGAAGGCCACTAATTTGATGTCAGGCGCCGGCAAAGCTCTCATCA